AATAAAGAAATAAATTGTAAATTTCTCGTTGCCTTCCGCCTAAGTGCGTATGTAGTTATATCCAATAATTGAATTTCTCTTTGTAACTAACGTTAGCCCAAGGTTTACTAAGTTAGTTTACAGGTATAAATTTACATACATATATACATAAGCACGTACTTATATTTATAAGTGTAGAGACCTGTAACGATGTCAGTGTGAATGTGAGAAACGACGATACTGGGGTAGCGAGTAGTTGTTAGTTCAGTTGTATACGGCGTGTGAGGTTGTCAAGTGGAATCTGAACGATCGCAAATAAATACACTTTTCCTGTGCAGTAGCATAATTATTATCTTATTATTTAATGCCGAAAAGTAGAGCAAAGGGTAAGTTATTGCAGTGGCGACGAGGATGGGATGGAGAGATGGCGAAAGTTAAAGTGAATGGCTTTGGAAAATTTCTTCTGCTAAGCACAGGTTGCGAGCACAAAGATGGCGGCCATTTTTCTTTGCAAACTTTCGGTGAAACTCGTAGAAAAGGAAAAATCCACTCGTTGTAGACGGAGTAACGAGTACATCCATGTTTCGTTTCAGATTAATTGGAAGTGACACATTAAATTGTGTTACCATTCAGAGTGTGCGTGAGCGAGTACGCTAGTGACTGCAAAAGTCTTACGAAATATTACAAGTACGGGCAAGTGCATTCAATTGTCACATGTACGAAAACTGTGAAGAATTCAGTATTGGGAGAATTATTTATACGTAGCGAGTGCGCGAGCGACTGAAAAAGTCTTGCAAAACAAATTACACCACCGAGAGGCGCATTAAATAAGTATGTATACACATATTTCAAATGTATAGAGCCATATAAACGTATACATGAAAGCGTAAGTAACTAATTTTGATTTCAGATTAAATAGCGAAGAAGTCAACAATTGTAGAACCGGGGGTGGCGAATTAAATTTTGCAAACGGGAACATAGAAATACGCTGAGGGTGACAAATTAAATTTTGACAACAACATCAGGCGTAATATCGGCATATACATTAAAAGCGCATACGCCAAAAACAAGTAATCCATCGAGATGGAAATCCGTCCATTCTTGTGCGAAAGTATTGACAAGGCACTCATAAGGTCAGAATGGGAAAAGTGGTTCCGATCATTTTCCCTATATCTTCAAGCCGAAGATATAAGTGATGCAGTAAAGATGAAAAATAAATTGTTGCACTTGGGCGGCCCACAGCTGCAAGAAGTAGCATTCAATATTCCCGGTGCTTTAGTCGAACAGAGCGAAGGCGTAAAGCCTTTTGACGTATTAGTAGCCAAACTCAATGAGTACTTCTCGCCGAAACGAAACTCCACTTTCGAGAGACATCTATTCAGAAATTTATCACCTGTCGAGGGTGAAAACTTTAACAAATATTTGTTACGTCTCCGACATCAAGTGTCAAAGTGCGAGTTTGGCAACACGACAGAGGAAATAAATGAAATTTGCATTAAAGACAAAATCATAGACTCATGGGCCCCAGTCGAGCTAAAGAAAAAACTATTAGAGAAAGAGCAAAGTTTAAGTGAGATAGTGGACACCTGCCAAATCTATGAGCAGATTGCTAAACAATCCGTGTCAATGTTTCCCAAATCGGCAGAGGAGGCAGTAAATCGAGTTTATACGAAATCGCACAGCGCGAAACATGAAAATGATGAGTGTGGAAGATGTAGCAAAAAGGGGCATCGTAGTAACGACTCGAAATGCCCGGCGAAGTTAGCGAAGTGCAATAAGTGTTGGTTAATGGGACATTTTGCTAGGAAATGCAAAACCAAGAAACGTAAAATTACTGGCAACGAACAAAGCTCGCCGAAGAAAAGACGATCAGAAACATACAAGGTGCGAAATGTTGAAATGGACGAAGAAGAGGAAGAAGTAAATTGCTTCAGTATTTTCAACAACTCATCTATGGACGAAAAACTGCTATGTGGTATCGGAGGCTGCACAATACCGATGATAATAGATTCGGGCACACGCCTGAATTTGCTGAGCGAAAACGACTGGGAAACGTTACGAGAAAATGCGGCAGTTTTATGGAACGAGAGAGAAAATTCATTAGCCCAATTCAAAGCCTATGCATCAGATAATGTTCTAAACGTGCTTCAAGTATTTGAAGCGCCGATTACAGTGAGTAAGAAGTCAGAGAAAATAGCAACTTTTTATGTTATCAAGAACGGGTGCCAATCATTACTGGGACGTGACACAGCTATACAGCTTGGAGTTTTAAAACTGGGTTTAGGTGTAAATCGTGTAGAGGTTGGGCAACCGTTTCCAAAGATGAAGGGGGTCCAAATAAAACTATCAATAGACCCTACAGTCAAACCTGTACAACAACCAATGCGTCGCGTACCTATTGCATTAGAGAAACAGGTGGGAGATAAGATTGACCAAATGCTTGCTTTAGACATCATCGAGCCGGTCTCGGGGCCCTCCTCGTGGATATCGCCGATAGTCATAGTGCATAAAGAAGGTGGAGAAATGAGGTTGTGCATTGACATGCGGCGGGCAAATCAAGCCGTACGGCGGGAAAACTATCCCCTTCCCACTTTTGACACTTTCATGACCAAGTTACAAGGCGCAAAGTTTTTTTCACGAATCGACCTTAAATGGGCATACCATCAACTTGAGCTGGATGAACCTAGCCGCTATATAACTACTTTTATTTCGCACAAGGGTCTATTCAGGTATAAGAGGTTAATGTTCGGAATAAATTCAGCTCCCGAAATCTTCCAACGGGTAATAGAAAAACTGCTATGTTCCTGTAATAATGCTTTTAATTATATAGACGATATTATCGTATTTGGCAAAACTGAACAAGAACATGACGAAGCTGTAAAAAGGGTAATCGACGTTTTTAAAAATAACAATTTGCTGATGAACGAAAAGAAGTGCATTTGGAAGATACGAAAGTTAAAATTTTTGGGCCATCTACTTTCTGACGAAGGTATAGCACCTGACCCCGACAAGATTGGAACAATCAAGGACTTCCGAGCTCCACAGTCAAAAGAAGAGGTGCGGAGTTTTCTGGGACTAGTGACATATGTGGGCAAGTTCATTCCGGACCTCGCCGATACAACAGACCCATTGAGAAATTTAATAAAATTAAACTGCAAATTCAATTGGGGGCAGAGCGAACAGAAATCGTTTGACAAGTTGAAACAGGCCCTATCGAACATACCTAATCTTGCTTATTTTAACCCTCAGAAAAGAACGCGTGTCATAGCTGATGCAAGCCCAGTAGCTCTAGGGGCGGTACTTCTGCAAATTGATGATCAGGATGAGGCACAAATTATATCGTTCGCGAGTAAAAGCTTGTCGGACACGGAAAAGAGGTACTCGCAGACCGAGAAAGAGAGCCTAGCACTAGTATGGGCCGTGGAGCGATATTACTACTATCTGATGGGTCTGGAGTTCGAGTTGGTTACCGACCATAAACCCCTTGAAACCATTTTCAAACCCACGTCAAAACCTCCTGCCAGAATAGAGAGATGGCTCCTCAGGTTACAACCTTTTAAATTTAAAGTGATATATAAAGCCGGAAAAGAAAATAT